AAGCACATCTAGCAATACAATGCCGAGGAAAATAATAAAGTTTTCAAGTGCAAATGCATAAAGGGGTTGTTGCTCATGGAGATGTGTTGTACTCCTGTTGGTGGAGGTCTTTGCTGCATGTTTATGATATCATGTAGTAGTGTAATTCATGTTAGATCAACTGAGATTGTATGGGAGCTTCCTCAAGGATAGTGCCATACAAGTTTCTAAGGCAAACACCTGGGGAAGATAGCTAAACTGTGTGTAGACACATATCATCTCAGAAAACAAAGTGTACTAAATACGCAATGTCATACCAAATTTGTAAATTTTCTTACATTAAAACACTGTCTTTAAGTAAATTACTTATCCTCTTCCGGTTAGAGGTTTGAGATTTCATGTAATATCATAATTCAGTTTTACAATATTACCTTTAGCTTATCATGCCTACAGAGTTATATCTGAAACCTCATCTATTTCTACCATGAAGTTGCAATGATAGAATAAGTGACCAAACTGTTTGTATGCTTTAAACCTACACAACTAGATAATATATTACACACACACACAACCTAGAGACTTGATTTGAGATGGTGCTATAATTTCAACCACCAACAATTTTAATACAGGTGGTACTATATCTTCAATATTTAGGTTGAAATACAGTTTATAAATACAATAGATTTGTATAGAGAAGATATTGTAAATCCATTCTACAGGCTTAAATAAGTTCACAACTATCTTTTGCACAAGTACGGTTTTAAAGGTAACACCACCTAATATGAATACTCAAAATATTTACCAAACTTAGCATAACATAACCTAAACCTTTTGACCAAGTATAGTTTCACCATAATATTAACTAACATAGACACTAACTCAGAACTTTATTGTATGTGACATCACTTCCTAATGATTTCTCACAGAAGTATGAGTTCAGTGTAATAACTTCCAAAACAAATATGAGCAATTAACACAATTACTTATGAGCATCTATTACTTTGTTCAATGTCATGAAAATAATCAACTAGTTTCAATTATTCAACTACCCAGTTATTGAAATATTGCCATCATATTTTCTATTATTATTTTCAATTAATTCAAGTTTGTTCAGCTTAACCAATTAGTGTCATGGCTTATGAAAATAATCAACTAATCAAAATTAGGGTTTCTGATTACTCAACTTTCCTAGTAATCAAAATAATGCCATTACATTTGTTTGTTGTTAAACACAAAACTAAACAATGGGCTGTCTTTACTCTAACCATTAATGGTATCAAAACATGATTTTTAGTGTTACAAATTTTTTTTAGTTATTTCATGTGAAAATAATTTATTAGTTTAATGTAATCAATTAATGAGCCTGAAGTTTAATTGATTAGTAAGTTCCACTAATCATCCAGCTCTAATCCAAAATAGATACTAAACAAAACATTTGCAAAATGTGAAGACCTTATAGTTTTATACAGATATCTTATATGGTTTCAGTTGTAATACTATCCATTAGAAATACTAAACGATTTACAGATTTTATGTCACTACATTCAGATCTCTCATGCAAATATGATTTCAGTTTAATAACATATAAAATAGAGATACTAGCCAAAAGACTAAGAAGTTTGATATATTTTACACTTAATTCTTGTACAAATAGGGTTTTTATGCAATACCATCTTTTATTAAGATACAAACCTCAACTTTAGCCTTAGGCTTTGAATGGTTTCTTTCAGATTCCTCTAATCTAAGAAATGTTGGAGGAAGAGGACCTAGTAGTGGAGGCTTCCAGTTTCTCTGGGACCTCAGGGGTACACTAGGTTTCTCTGGCCTTAAACCAACCTTCTCACTTGTTCTCTTGGGTAAGGGAAGTGTCTGGGACATGTGAGATTGAGGAAATGACCTGGACAGTTGACAGCGCAGCTGAGCCTGCTGAGGTCTACGAGGTATTGTAGGAGAAGAGCTCAATGCTGCAGGTGAGGATCTCCCAAGAGCAGCAGCTGGAGAGTGGGCAGGACTTTGAGCATATGGAACTGCTTGTTGATAAGAGGGTGGTGGAGTTGCAGGGGAGTAGCAAGGTGGTACCTCAGCATTCTCTGTGGCATCTAGCTCTGTTCGCAAACGTTCATTTTCATTGTCAGTGCTCATGGATAACAACTGGTCTATAGTAGCATCCACTGCCCCATTGTTAGCACGAAGCACTACTTCTATCACATCTTCATCCATTTCAGGAAACATTGTTTTGAAATCCCTCATAGCCTGATGAAACTCCAACTGAGTCACTGGCTGGGTCTGCTGATTATGTTCTTGTTGTTGGTCTTCATTCACAGTAGCCATATTAATTTCAAATACTTTAAATTTAGCAAGGTATCAGTTCTTATAGTAGTTTGTTCATAAATAAAAAAGATTTCTAAAGTTGTAACATCATGGTAGCCCTTCCAAAAGCATTTCCATATACTGTTAAACTTGAGTAATTTAAAAGAAAGTTGAGCATTATTTAATACTGGTTTATTTCTCCTGGCTCTGTAAATAAAATAAATGAAAAAACACATAAACAACATTTTTATGGGTTAAATAGATATCAACTATTATAAAATAATTTACTGAGTTAATAGTAAATAGAACTAACAATGGATCCTTTCATACTATACCATATTGCTGGTTAATGATTCAAAATGAAATAATATTAATTATAATAAAACTGACATACAATGTAGATGTTATCTTTGTTTTCTATGTTCCATTTTTTGAAGACTTCTTAAAAACGAAATCTATTCTAAGGCTACAAATGTGCATTTAGAGCTAGAAATAACCTAAAGTAGGTTTGTTAACAAAATCTATAAAAATATGTTTCACAGTAAACATAAGACAAATTATAGAAAGAGCACGGAAATAACAAAAATATTGATAAAAATGCAACTTTGACCAATTTTTTTTCTTTTTTGTTGAATATCACATAAAAAAGGAAAAGCTAATATTAATCATGGTTTAAAAACACTTCTATTGATAGAAATAAATTTAAATAGTTATAGCCAAAAAACATTTTTACAGACATTAATATCATACTTAGTCTTTAAGTGTTTGAAGACTGCAGTTGCCATTTTACAGCTATTTTTTGTTGTTAACAGCATCACATTAGATACAGGCATGAAAAGGACACACTCTAAACCTCTAATGATTAAAAAAATGTAATACTGAAATTCTCAATAATTTTTATACATTTAGTGACTGGAATCTCAGTCCTAATCATGCCTCAATGTTTAATGCTTAAACAGGTATGGAACAAAACATTGCAGATAACTATTAAATGCCTAGTCTATATATTTTACAAGTCTCCACAAAGTTGATTTAAGAAGTTCATGGCTCTAACTAGTAACTGTCACCAACGATCATTAACTGTGTACAGCAACTCATTTTACACCAATTTAGTGCCAAGCTGATAAATCACATTTCAAAATAAATCCTTCTTGCAAATGTGAGACTCCTCAAATTTCAGTTAAGCTGTACAACATATCTGAAGTCACTGTCAGTTCCCAAAGGCATAGATCAGACTACAGCTACAACTTAAAAAAAGGTATTTACAATGGTCAATGCATCTAGCTTTAAAGGACACAAATTACAATGCTCATTTAATACAGAAAAAAGGTCTAATTAAAAACAATGTTGAATATGTGAAACAAACAATACAGTAAAGACAGAAAAATGGCACATACTAAATTAATAAAATTAATATTAGTGAATATAAAAACACATCAAGATAATTTAAAATAAGGGTATTAAACTACTGAGCAAAGAAAGAAAAACCGAGAGGATATAGCCTACTCTATTGTGCAACAAATTTCAGCCGTTGGCTTCTGCAGACAAGGAACTATTGGAGGGAAGAAAAACAAAAGGGTCAGAGAAGAATGTGGATGATAAGTAGGTTATAGTTATAGGTGATTCCTTGACAAGGCATGTGGGTAGGATAGTCTGTGGGTCAAATAGGAAGAAAAGTATCAGATCATGCTACCCAGGAGCACAGGTGAAGGATATAACTGACAGAGCTGGAGATATAATAAAGGGGCTAGCAGAAATGCAGTTTTGTTGGTGCATCTAGGGGATAATGATGTAGGGACATGTAGGTCAGAGGAGCTAGTTAATAAGTACAAGGGATTAATAGAGGCATTTAAAGAAAAAGGCCATAATTTAATTTTGTCACTGATACTGCCCAGAATTTACTGTTGGGATGATGTTATAAGTAGGTCACTAGGGTTAGGTTAGTATGTAAGGATGAGCAATTCAGTAGAAGATGGGAGCTTTTTTGAATATATGGTTTACATTTAAATAAGATAGGGGCTGGCTTCTTTGCTACAGCTATTAACTCAGCTGTAGGGGAAGTTTTAAACTAGGACTAGACAGTGGTGAGGGTCAGGGAAAACTAAATACAAAAAAGAGTAATAGGCAGAGAAAAGTTTAGCATAGGAAATAAGTATAGAAGTAGTTATAAGGGTAGGGTTAATTGTTACTATTGAAATGATAGAAGTATAAGAAATAACAGATGACTTTACAGCACTGGTAGGAATGAAGGATTTTGATATAATGGGAATAACTGAAACATGGTTAAACGTAGATGATTTTGATGACAGGAATTTCTTTGAAATACAAGGTTACAGGCTGTTTAATAGGGATAGAGTATTAAAAAGGGAGGGAAAGTGGCTTTATATGTAAAAAGTGGCTTTATATATATCCTGTTGAAGTTTAGGATAATAAAAATAATAGCACAGAGGGTGAATCCACTTGGGTGTCTATTAATGGATATAGAGGGAAAAAGCTTTTAGTGGGAATTCGTTAAAGACTACCAAATGATTAAAATTTAAGCTTTTAATGAGGTCATAATTATGGCTGATTTTAATTTCAGGCATATAGATTGGGAAATGCTAGAGTCAAACCATGAGGAAGAAAGGTTTCTGGAAACTCGATGTCGAGGAACCCACTTTGAGACTAATAATGCTTGGAGATGGCTTGAATGGGTAATGAAGAAAAACTTTAATACAAGTTTAATATAACAGCAAATGTACAACATTTCAACAAGGTTTTGTCATCATCAGGTACAAGTAGTTTACACTAACACAGATATACATATATAATATATATATATATATATATATATACATATAGTATGGAATAAAGAGGTCACATGACCGGATACTGTTGTAAGACTTATAAGAGATATCTTGGCACCCCAGGGTGTTGGCTTAGAGTAGGGTTGTTTTGTTCAATTAAGATGGATTACTTGATTTTTCATTTGTTTATATTTGGTTCTTTGTTTAAAATTACTTTGTTTTTAATAGATATACTATGGTTTTTAAGTTACAGTAATTTTACTGTGTATTATAAAAGTTGTTAAGTTTAAAGTGGCGAGAAACGTACTGATTGTGGAACTTCTGCGTGCTAAAAGTTTGTATCGAGGAAGAATAAACTGGTTAAATCAAGAAAGGACTGGTATCACTGAAGATCATTGGAAAGAGTTTCTACCGGAAACAAACAAGCAGATACATAACAGTATATATATCTGTGTCAGTGTAAACTACTTGTACCTGACGATGACAAAATGAAATGTTGTATATTTGCAGTTATGTTAAACTTATATTAAAGTTTTTCTTCATTACCCATTCAAGCCATCTCCAAGCATTATTGGTTTCTGAAAATTGTTCAAGATGGCTTTCTTTAACAATTAGTCAAGGAACTTACTAGAAACAATGCTATTTTACATTTATTGTTAACTTCATGCATAGAAATGATTGAGAGGGTGGAAATTGGGGAACATCTGGGTGCAAAAAATTTAAATTGACTGGTATGACAGGAGATTTAGAAGATTATAAAATATCAAGAAAGTTGGTGAAACAGGAAATTAACACATCAAAGAGGATCTATGAGAAACATTAAGGGTAAACAAAATGTTAGGATGGGGGTAGGACCCTTGAGGGATGATAAAGGAAGGCTTGTATATGATGATTATGATATGGCTGGGTTATTTTGCTTTCTCTTCAGTTTTTACTAACAAGGATTTAAGCAGTATTCCACATCTTAAACAGTTGATAGACAGAAACAAGATCGAACAAGATAACTGCATTAATTATGAGCTGGTTAAGAAAAAATTGGGAAGTTAGATAAGGCTACTGGGCCAGATAATACTTCCCCAATGGTTTTGAAGGAGGTTAAAGATTGGATATGTGAGCCACTTGCTACTATTTTTTGTCAGTCCTTGAATAATGGGCAGGTACCAGAGGATTGGAAGTTAGCTAAAGTAACTCCTGTTTTCAAAGGAGGTGATAAAAATTTTCCCAGTAACTATAGACCCATTAGTTTTACATCAGTTGTGGAAAACGTTTTGGAAAGTCTGATAAAAGATGTGCTTTGCAAAGTCATTCAACAAAGTTTAGAATTTTATTGTATAGTCAACATGGTTTCACTAAGGGAAAATCTTGCCTTAAAAATATTTTAATGTTCTTTGAAAAGGTTACTGCTTATGTAGATGATGGTAAGAGTGTAGATTTGGTGTATCTGGATTTTCAAAAAGCATTTGGCAAGGTGCTGATAAAAGGCTTGTAAAAAAAATATTTCTATAGGTATGGGTGATAAATTAGCAAATTGGATAGACGAGTGGCTGGATGGAATAAAGCAGAGGGTTGTTACAAATGGAGTTCAGTCAAACTGGTCAATTACTTAAATCTACAGATGATATTAAGGTCTTGGGTGTTGCTAGTTCAGTAAAGAATTGTATGTGGACAGATATAACAGTATGGTTATGTGAAGAATTGTAAGTGGACAGATATAACAGTATGGTTATGTGAAGAATTGTAAGTGGACAGATATAACAGTATGGTTCTGTGAAGAATTGTAAGTGGACAGATATAACAGTATAGTTCTGTGAAGAATTGTAAGTGGACAGATGATTTAGATCATTTAGTGAGTTGGGCAAATAAATAGCAAATGGATTTTAATCATAATAAATACAAGATTATGCATGTGGGTTATCATAATTTGAATTATAAGTATAATTTGGATGGCAATAACCTTAACAGTGTCATGAAAGAAACAGATCTTGGTATAATAGTTGATCAGTCTCTAAAGCCATCCAAACAGGATGCTGTTGCTAGTGGTAGGGCAAATAGGATTTTAGGTTGCATCTACAAAAATATTGAATACAAGTCTAAAGATGTTATAGTTTCATTGTATCGGTCACAATTGGAATATTGTGTTCAGTATTGGGCTCCTTACCTTAGGAAAGACATTGAATTGTTGGAAAGGATTCAGAAAAGGGTTACTAAGATGTTGCCTGGGATAGAGGGGTTGTCATACAAGGAGAGGCTGAAATCTCTGAACCTTTTTCTCTTGAAAAAAGAAGAGTTTGAGTACTTTAAGACTGTAAAGGAAATTGATAGTGTTGATGCATCATCTTTTTTCATACTTAACAATGAGAACAGTAAGACTAAAGGACAAATATAAGTTTTGGCAGGGTATTTATTTGGCCTTTGTAATGG